CATTTACAGACACTTTCTTTTTCTTTTTCTTTTTCTTCTTCTTCTTCTTCTTCTTCTTCTTCTTCTTCTTCTTCTTCTTCTTCTTCTTCTTCTTCTTCTTCTTCTTCTTCTTTTTCTTTTCCTTTTTTAGATTTAGAGACAATTTTTGCACTATAATTCACCTATATTTCAGCAAGAGTGTATTTTCCTAACTTGACAGACAGTATGAAGATTCCTACTTAAACTGAGTAAAGATACAGGGCATGTTGAATAAGGAGCTCAACACAGAGATTTAGACAGTCCAAGAGAATAGAATCAAAGAGATTCTTTGCACAGGGGTATTGAATTCCTGCAACTTGTTGCTGGAGAAGACTGTGGAGATTGACAACATCAAAAGATTGGAATGGGGGATGAATCAGGTGATGGACACTATGTCCCTAAACAGAAAGTATGCCAAAAGGCATACTCTAGACTTGTCTACAGTGAGCCATGGTATAATAAATATTCATGGCACCAACAATGTTACTAAGCATGATGAAGAAAGTGGAGATGTACATTCTCGCTCCCTGCTTTGTACTAAATTATGAATACACTTGGTACCTATTGAGTGGTTGGAACACACCAGATCCCTTTCAATTAACACAGATCTGCTCCACCTTTTGATAGAGCATAATAACGGAGCTAATAAAGGACACTAAGCAACCTGGTTGATGGATTTAGCCAGACACTGAATCCTGGACTGCTGAGATCCTTTTGAGTTTTATGTTCCTTCCTTATTTGTCACAGAACACAGTGCTTGTGAAAGGAATCCTTAATAGGAAAGTGATGAACTGCTTCCAAAACATTTGACAAGGGGGGCTGCATTCAGTCACTAAACAAGCATGTTAAATTCCCTTGTGAAATTCAGTAAATTTTTTTCAGGTTGCATTCATCTCATCCTGCTGTGGTTGCCTAGAAGGTCTGTGTTTAGTTTAAACTGGTTAAAGCAGATGGGAAGGAGGGAGGGCAGTTCTAATGCATGATTCATTTTATCTTGATGTATATGTCCAAAAGAGGAGGTGAATCACTCTCTAGATGCTCTTGCTGACTGTCTTCATTGACTCAATGGGGAACTTTTACAGCTCTTTTGACCATACAAGACTCCTTTGCATTAAAGCTGTTGACCTTGTAAAATCTGCTCCAATTAAGGTACGTGCCACATGTGCTCTGACTCACCTTTATGGAGAAAAAGCACCAATTAAAACAGTTTGGCCTCTGTAAACAATCAGATTGGGGAAAAAAGTTCTGATGATCTTTTCTAGCACACAGTAAAAACAGGATTCTCCTGCTTTGGAGCAGTGCTAGATGCTGTCTGTGGAGTGTTATGGAGAATAGGAATGGCCCTTACCTCCCAGATATGCCTTTTCTCATCCTATGAACAGCTCCACACATCTGACTGAGTTCCACATTTGTGAAATAGTTCACAGGAGATACTTTCTAAGATTGCTTTATTTGTTCCCTAAAAGTTTAGTCTGCACTTAGCATCTTCCAGGTTGCGGAGAAAAAAAATGTTCATACTTAGCTGTGATGGTGGAGGAGGAAACTATGTAAACGCCATGGCAAGGGAGAACCAGCAAGGATATAAAAAGGGAAAGAAACATGATGCAGCTGCAAAGGGCAAACAACCTCCAAGAAGAGGCATTCTACTAGTGAAAAGTTTGGAAAAGACTGGCCCAGAACATAAGAGTGGCTGAAAGAAAGAAGAAATTGGAGCTGATATAGTCTTCATTATAGAGCCACCCCAAAGCAAGGAAGTGGGACCATGGCCACTGAATGCTGTCACGGCATTTTTAAAGACGGTTGGTGGCAATACTAACCATAATACCCTATGTATTCTGTAAAAGAAGCCAAGAACAGTCTGTTTAAGTGCAAAATCCAGCTTTATGAATTTCAGCTGTTAAGCACAATAGCACCATATCACATGCCTACAGCAGAGCTCCCCACACATTTTCTTCCAAGTCAAGCAGTAAATAACACGAGTTAATAACTATCACCACCATAATTTCAAGGCTATGTGAGCAATGTACTGATTAACAGCGTTCAGTTAGCTATTAGAGCCCCCCAAGGTCTACATGAAGTGGCATTCCCTTGAACAGAGGGCTCACATAAGAGCAATTCACAGCAGAGAAGTGAAAAAAAAAGGAAAGAAAGCATAGAGAAAGCAAATAACTCATTTTAGTGAGTTATATGGATATTTTCCACTTCTTTAAACAGGACAAGGCTACAACTTTCAACTAGCTGAATTGTTTATGCTTGTAACATCGAGCATTAAACGCCTTGATAGGGGCCATATGAATTTCTATACGAATCCTTCTTATGGGCCCATATGAATTTCTCTTTTCTCCCCAGCTTCTGTATGATTCTGCTTTTCTTCTTTTTCCTGTCAGATAAAGCTCCATCAGAGACAATGAAAAATAAACTTGCCACCTTCATTAGTGAGTGCTCCAGACCAAAGGATTCAGTGTGCAGTAGCATTTGCAAAAATGTTTTTCTATTTTCTTGCTGTTTTCTTCTCTGGGAATTCCTTTTTGGTATTTTGCTTGATCTAGCAGCAGTTTTTAAAACCAAAAATAATCTTCAAAATCTTGCTTTGCCTTTCTCACTTGTCTATGATGATCTGAACCATGTGACAGTCTCTTTCCCTTCTAGTCCTGAAAGAAAATACTGTCCTGAGCATCAAAACCTCCTATTCTTCAATGAAATTGTTTTTGGAAGAAAGTTCAAAAAGCAACAGGGAGTCCAACACCTTCTTCTCCCCACTACACCTTGTAAAACACTCAAGATGTCCATTTCCCTCCATCACTTTCTAGCTTTCCATCACATTTTGCCTCTTTTATTGCCTCTTTTATTTGCCTCTTTTATTGTCACACTTCTTTGCATGACGTCAAGCTAATCAGCTAAATTGCAAAGATAACTGTGTTTTTTCCTCTTTTTTTTTTTTTTTTTCCTGTGTTTAGGTGACTTTCTCCCTAGCCTGCTCCCTTTCCCTCTCTCATCTGCCTCCTTTCTATGTGAAGCTCTGCTTTGAGTCAGATGAACACTTTTTGCCTGCAGTGCCCAGAAGTATTTTTTTTCTTTTTTTCCCCTTTTTTCTTTTTTCTTTTTTTTTTCTTTTTTTTCTTTTCTTTTTTTTTCCAGGAATCACTCAGCAAGCTGACCTATTTCACAAGCTGACCTAACTAATTGCTCGCACAAGCGGTAACCGCTTCTCTGACCTTTACCAAGCCTGAATACCAGAGTTATGAGTCTTTCTTGTGCAAACTGTGCTTGGAGCAATTAGCCACCTGAGAGGTCACCGTTCTTTCCAACAGGGAACATCACATGCTCTTAGTAGGCTAAATACTCACCCTTGCTAATAAAATGTTAGCAGCTATTACCCCTCTGCCCTGAGTTTTCCTGCCTAAAAGCTGCATTAAAGGGTGAACGTGGCTTCACTCACCTGCCAAAATTGAACCTTCTGCCCAAGCGGCTGTTGCCAGCATGCAAACAGCTATAAAATGCAGCAAAATTGAAGTTTGCCCAAGGGAGAAACAAAAGCAGAAGCTGTGGTGCAAACCCCTGCATGTGCAATGAGCACACTATGTTTTTTTTTGCAGAGGAAAAACAAATCATGAGAAAACTTGTCTCTGATTCTTCTTTGTGCAAATATGTTTTCCCAGGCATGGCGGTGGTGGGGCATGGGGCAATTGCTTATCTCTGGCCTTCTTGGAAACTTCACAGGTGCAAATCCGGGGCCTGTGTCTTTCCGACAGATGTCTCAAGCATGAAGCTCTCCAAGTCCTTTGGCATTTCTGTGGTGTTTCCTGTTGCACTACTGAATATGGGAAATGAAGTGGTAGAAATGTCCTCCGCACTAACACGGTGGTCCTAACTGTCCATGGAGCAAGGATGGACAGCGAGGACAGTAGCCTCTCTCTGTAGCCACATTTCAAATACATCACTTATATTTCTTAGTCATATTTGTTATGAAGTTTTCATTTATTAAAGGTTTATATAGAGGAAGCAGGTATCTGACACGATAAACACGTCACAGTAATAGGTAATGCATTTTATAGGTGATCTAAGCACATCAGTAGAAAATAACACAGAGAGTTTTAATTTATTCTTTTTTATAGTCTATTCCAACTAATTCTCTAGGCATTAAAGGAAAAGGATTTATGTAGAAATGACTATAGACAAACTATAAAATATGCAATACTTTCTTGATTATTTCTATTTTTTTTGGTGGGAGGGCATCATTCTTCCTTTTTTTACTGACATTTGGAAGACTGGGCTTCGCTGAAGAATGGCCAGGCAGTTTAGGAATGAGAGATATCATTTCAAAACCTGCCTACATGGACCTAATACGTATTTTTCTTCAAACTTGCAAACTTCTAGAAGTTTGTTTTGTCACTCAGAAAAACAGCATGGATCAAAAAACATCAGCAGATAAAGATCTCTGAGAAGTCCAAGCAAATGGTCAGTAGGCAGAGATCTCCAAAAAGCCCTGGCGTTACCTCCAGGGTTTCTTTTTATTTGCATAGGTGGGTCACAACAATGGGGCATAAGGTCCACTGTCATTTATCAACTCCTCCAGACCAAAAGCCACCGTCAGATTCCCATGCAGCCATAAATTCGGAGTCGAATGACTTCACAGAGCTGTTAAAACCTTGCCCCGTTCTCCTGGCCACAACTGTAGTGGAACAGCCCCAGAGTCAGTAACTGATGTGTCAAACCACTTCCTACATACGACGGCACACCATGCGACGCTTAGCATTAAGTATGATTTCCTGGATAAAAGCTACTAATACCTGAACAGAGAGCAGCCCTCACGCACGCAAGCGGAGCCAGCCAGCGCGGCGGTGATTCGGCTGACCAGCGAGCACCAGGTCCTCACAAGGTTTCCTGTGGGGCTAAGTGTGCCATAGACACCTTGTTGGCTCTCCCCACACGAGCCTCTCGCTTCTGAGAACCTTCCTCACCCTCAGCACTGCGGAGAGAAGATGTGAACACATTCCATGGAGCTCAAGTGCCTTTTGATGTGGCTCATGGTTGGATCCATCAAGGCGAGTGCAACAGGTAAAAGACTATTTCTGCATTTTGGGGAGGGAAAAAATATATATATTTTTTTGTGGTCACTCCCAGAGGAGGTTCACAACGTTCTGACTTCTTTCAGGTAAGGAAAGACATCAAGAGCTTAAGGAATTTGTTTTTCTAAGGAAATGAGAGAAGAGGGTTTTGTGCCCACAGACCATCAAGTGGAGACAACCCAGAGCAGTTCATGATAATTTGTTTTGTCTGAGTAATGTATGTATCCTCCAACCCATCACTGGAACGGTGGGTAGATCAAAGCAGCCTTGTGTGCCTTAGGTAGCTCTTTGAGTTTGCTTTTTTTCCATTTTACATGTAACTTTAGGAAATGCAAAAATAGACACCAAAATGCCAATCTTAGCTCCAGAGGTAAGATTCATGGCAATGCTATTAGCTAAAACATAGCATCCAAGCTGACTGTAGGTACTAAAGACACCACGTGCTCTTTCAGCCACACATGCCAACCGATATTACCTACAAACAATAAAAGGAAGTAGCTGCTTCATTCAGCATTTGCCATGGGTTTGTCCTGTGATGAATTGTAATATTGTCTATGTTTGGTTCACTTATTAAGACGAGTGCATGTGTTAAGAAATGGTATGGTGATATATAAGAGCGTTTGAGATTGGAGGGGAAAAATGTTGGTTTGTGGTTGTCTTATATCGTCTATGTGCCATCTATATGCTTATGTCCTCTATGCTGCTTCTTCCTCTGGTGATTTCTAGATATAGTGGTAAGAGTAGATAGAGCCTAAGGGAGGATTTTAGATACACAGATACTGTTACTGCTAATGGATCATCTCTAGCAAGGGTGCTAATTTTACAAAGGTCGGAGTGCCTCCAAGAGGGATTGGATGGCTTAAAAACAATCAACTGCACTAATACTACCCAGGAAAGATCTTAATTTAAACCATGTAGGTGGTTTTATTCTCATTAAAGAACTTTGCCCATAAATGCTTCATCTTTTCACCCATTTTTGCAGAGCCAAGTGAAATGCCAGTGCTCACAGCAGGTTTTTTTGAGTGCTATATGAGAGAGTACCACTGTGAGATGTGCAGCCAGAGATATGTAAATAGGATCGGTTCTGGGATGAGTCAGGTCCCCTATATCATGCTCTCTGTATTACTGTACCTGGGACACATTGTGAGAATTCTTGCAGGCAAGTATCGTTTATCAGAAATCTTTCTGCTTTTTGGAAAAATTGAGAGGTGTTAAGCAGTTGCATGTTATGCTATTTGATTTAATTCTTCGCTGTGTGAATAAATGCATACCATTGCATTCTCTGTGCCACCAGGTTCTTCCTCGCTCAGCTTCCTGTATATATTTTGAATGTCTTTTTCCAATATTTAAAGGTAACATTAATATTGCTTAATATTAATTAAATCAATCTTTAAACTTAAATGTCAAATTCAGTATTATTTGTTATTAATTGAAATTGCCTGATTATTAATATTAAAATGCATATATATAATTTCTCTCTGCAAATAGCAGACTGAGGTAGAAATACTGCTTCAGCCAATTTAGGACTTTTTATTTTAGACATGCCTAAAATATTGTTGCTGCAAGACATATTGGTTTTATTCTTTAAAGGGACATAGAAAAGACAAGAAGTCCTCTCTGTTGAAGAGAACAAGGCTAGATCAAGCTCTGGTCAAAAATTAGCTTCATATCTCTCTAGTCCAATACGTACAATGGTATTCATAATATTTTTCCTTAGCCTTTTTAGCTCTTCCCAATATTGTGAGTTCAGGGTTTTTATTTTTAAATAATCCCACCTAGAAGTTGTTCGGAAGATCGTTTATGGACAAAACACAATCTGAAGAATAAATATCTCTAAGAGAGGAAGAAAATAAAAAGCCTTTTATTTTTGGGCTGAGGGCAAAGTCTTCTTCTGCACAACTGGGGAAACTGAGGCACGGGGTGATCGGTCATTTAGGAAAAATTAAATGGCACCTGTTTTTCTCCAGAATAGCATAAGATTATTTCATGTATTCTCTGCATAAGAGCAGTGCTTAGAAGCTTCAGGCATGGACTAGGTTTCATTTATGCCAGGTGAGGGGCAAGCACAATCTTACTATTCATCTTACCAGAATCATTCAGAACACTGAATAGATTTGCAACTCAAACCTGGAAAGCATTCGAACTCACAAAGGAAGGAATTTCATTCATTTGGATTTAATTCACACAAGATGGGCACCAGAACATTTAAATGAGAGGAATTTCTTTCCCATTATACTTGCTTATGAGTGCTCGCTGCCACGAATTTGAAATGCCGTGCAGAATAAATTCAAGTTGTCATTGTGCCTCCTGTAAGGTCACCCAAAGAGCAATATACCTTTATAAAACCCCCAGTTGTAGTGGCCTCAGCGGCAAAGTGACAAACACACAGCTACAACCAAAAAAGAATGCTAAAATTGCGATCCTGATGGAAAAAAAAAGCAGGGTGAAGTTCTGGACAGAGTCCCTGCAGTATCTGCTTTCATCTTGAGATGGAAGAACTGTTTCAGGCACGGAGGATATGCCACCATTGAGTATTCTCTCCTAATTTCATTAGTGCTTTTATCTCAGCATCACCCATAACTGCAAAGACTGTCTTCCAGTCTCCTCTTCATATCCCTGCCCAGTCTTTAGGTAAATTCTGTTATGTCCTTTCCTTTCATCTTTGTAAAAAAGTACTTCTTTGGCTATTCTTGGAAAGCACAGCTTTGACCTTGCTCACTATTGTTTTCATAATGTTGGACTTCTAGTCTCCTTGTGGTCTTCCCTGATCTCCATCTGAAGCCTTTGCTTCTCCTCTTACCCTAATGATGTCTTCAAATCATGGCTTTTGGATGCTTTCTATCCCTTACTTCCATCTCCTGACCCCAATTCTGAATCTTAGAACAATTCTGCAGTCTGATTCACCAGGTTTTCTCCACATCTTTTTTCCAGGGCTTCTCCAGAACTCACACTTACAGAGTCCTTCCATGACCTTCTTTGCTCAATTCTCCCTTCCTCAGCCCCACCACACTAGCAGCACCCTGTCATCTTTGCTGCCTTTTCTTTATGTTCCTCATTTCTAAGGTGTGAGCCTCCATACAAGGAATATACAGCCCTCTTTATGTGGCAGCATGCTACATGCAGAAGCATCATCACCACTTAGGAACAATTTCCATAAAGATGACACAAAGGATGACACTGAAAAAGTTCAAGCCAAAGAAAAGGATTTGAAGCATCTGCTGCTGCTTAAAAAGACAATTTTCTTTCTTAATTATGTGTCTTTCCCTTTAGATGGAATTACTGAAGAGACAAGTGTTACTGAAATTACAGATGTATGTAAAATATAGTCAACCTTGTTCAAAACTCCAATGTCATGCACCAAAACAAAGCTCTTCACAAACAATATTTTCAAAGCCAGACATTGTGTGCTCTGCTGCAGTATTTACCTTAAATGAATTCAAGCTGTGTGGCTTTACCACAGAACCAAGAAGATTCAAAACATCCAATAAGAAAAGAATGAGAAAAACAAATGTCCCCATCCTCTGTTTTGTACCTTCTCTACACTATGTTTGGGCTAATTTTCATCACTTTCCCTCACTCATCAAACACTCTCCATCTTTCCTAACTTTCCTTCTTTCAATTCTAAATTTGCTGTCCAAGTGCCCATCCTGACTTCTTCGTCCAGAACAAACTAAACACTCATCTTGCTCAGCTTCAGCCATCTGCATTATCAGATTGGACACCCTTCAAAGCCAGTGGAGAGAAAGCAGCATTTTTAGGATCATCTACCAGTTTGCAGATAGCCCCTGCAAGATGAGATGAATCATGTCTTGTAAATCCTTTTCTAGGAACTACATGGGGAATTTAAACAGCTAGTCTGTCTGTGGTTGTCTGCGTTTGATCAGATGAATCTCATGTCATTGGCACTTCATTTAGTCTATGTGTTATAACAAGGGTGATCTGGTGATGGATGCATTTAGTTGCATTTAGTAGGAGGGAAGACTGATACTCAGTCAAAGAACAATTGATTGGGTCAGTAAAAGATGCAACCTCTTAGGGCTTCTTGGTGGTAAACACAGAAAAGTAAGGTTTAAAATTAAATGACTGCATTACCTAAACCACACTGGTTCCTAGTGTGGGTATGTAGCGTTATTTTTCCAAGGCTGTCACTGTAGCTACTAAAGAGGGAGGTGCCTACAGCAGTGCTTCGGAGAACAAAAGTTAGATGTCTCCTATTCCCTGGAGAACTCTGTCCAACTCCAGTCCTTACAGGTGGAACAAAGAAGACCGGTTCTTTGGGCTAGAGTTGTGCTTGGGAACTCTCCCTCAGAGCAAGAAATCTTAGTTCACTCTCAAACCAACGCCGGCCTTGCTCTTTGAAGAAACATTTAAAAGTATAGCACATTTCACTTCATTTTATATTAGATTCCACAGCAAATGTCAACTGCAAACAGCTGGTTGGTATGAGTGAGCCAAGAGATGAGAGGTGCATCTCTTCTAGCTATAATTTTCCATTTCCATAAATTTCCACCGAAAGCCAGCAGATAGCTCCTGCTTATTCACATTCCAGCTTATTTAATACTGACTTTGCAGCAGAGGTAATTTCTAGTACCAGCAAATTCAGCAGACATTGATCTGCTGATCACTGATCTACTAAAACTAGTTTTCATCATAGGACATGCCCCTTCTCCACTGTTAGAAATATTAAAACCCATCTTCTTATCTCTTCTCCATTGTTGTTTTCATGAATTCTTGCGATTTTATTTGTACTGTACTTCTGTTAGTTAAATTGTAAATCCATTACGACTAAGATGATTTAGTCTCTATACGGTCTACAAAATAGCTAAAGTCTCTCAGACAGATCTGCATAAATTTCCAATCTGCACCTCTGCTTCACAACTCAGATCTATTGTGGGCTTACAAATCCACAGAGACAAAAGCCAGCATTAATCTAGGAAGTCTAGGTCTATTAGTCTAGGAAGCAGGCTGAGGATGGGAAGGAAGCAGGCAGAGATACAGGTAACATTAACCTACCCTTTTGGAAAAAGTTTTGAAATTAGAATAAGTTTGTTACCCGTTGAGTCCAGTTGCTGGTATCGATTCCTTCTCTTCACCCATATCAGTTTTGTCTTCAAGATACGCAGTTTATTTCGAGAGCAGCTAGTTTCTGACTGCATATGAGCCCCCAGGGTGCACTCTCTTTTCAGGTACATCTGGAAGAATCTTCATTTTGAGACAGTTTGGTTTCCTGGTATCTCTGAGGAAGAGTTATTTTCATTTCTGAAGTAGTCAGGTGCATGAGCTGCTTGTTTCTTCCACTGCTTCTAATCAAATCTACAGAGCAGCCAGTTTCCTACTGCTCCTTTCAAACCAGCTTTTTATTTAGGAAAAAAAAAAATCCTATTTTTGCATCTGAGAGTTTTAACTTTACATCAGAACAATGTCAAAGTTGGTGACAGAGTCATGAGACAGAGGAAATTTTGTCGTGGCATGACTCATTGCCTGTCTTTACCTAATACTAATAATACCTGTTAGAAACTTCTGATCCCTTACCTAAAACTAGTCTTCCAGCTCAGGCACTAAAGAGAAATAAATAGGTGATCTTCAAAAATCCTAATATTGCCAGTACATCCTCTGCAACCAAAGTTTTGCTTGTCTTACTTACGTATTTGAATGGGAAACATCAGGGAGAAACCCAAGGACTGAAAGAATTGATGGTGACTTAGCTAATAGTTTCCTTTCCCCTCAGCCTACACAAAGACATTAGGTGCTGAGAGCAGCCCAAAGCTTTGTGTCTGCCCTTTGGGGACAGTAAGTGGTGGCAAGTTCAAGGGGATTCAACTGGGTAAAACACACGTGCAACAAGTGATGCTCTGTTTTTCAAATTGGTCCGGGCACTGAAAGACTGTTGTCGTAATTATTGTGAGAATTTTAACAGTTATTTTGCATTTCATTGTAAAGCCCTTCATTTCTACAGCTTAGTGGAGTTCACCTTCCGTAAATTTTGTGAGACACTCAGTTTTTGCCCCGTCTCTAAGGATCGCATGGCTCGCTCTGTACAGCCAATCATCTCAGCCTTCATTTCTTGTATGTATGGATGTGTTGCAACGGTTTTGGAGAAAGGAAACAAGGAAGGCAGCTGCAACGCAACAACTTTTTAGGCAATAAATACAAATCAGAAGAAAGTAGTCTTATTAAAGGAGAATTAAGAGTCTTTTTATATTGTATAGTCATAATGCTGAGGAGAAAGTTGCCTATATACTGCTATTGCCTTTGTATGAGATTTTCTGAACTTTCAGGCATTATTAATAAATGAATTTGCCCATAGGCAGATATGCTTCGGTTAACTAGAAATTATTGAACTCAGTACAAAAGTACCTAGGTAAAATTCAGGGGTCTATTTTAGCCATGAAATCATGCAAGTGATCTGAAGCTTCTGACCTTCAAGTCAGGTGTGGCTAAACAAGAATTAGAAGGGAATGCAGCACAAACTAGAATTTTGATTCTGGAAACCTGATAAAATGTAAGCACATTTTCCTTTATATTTACACATTTTCCTTTGTACTGAGCACGCTCTTTCATTTCTGTGCTCTGGCAGAGCCAGCCCCTAAATGTTACCCTAAAAGAATAGATGATGTACTAGATAGATAGACTATCAGATAGAATACCAGATTAGAGACTACACAAGTGTATCACAGAAGCAAAAATGACAGAATTGCCATTTAACCTTCTACCAGGCATCAGTGGCCAAAAGCAATTAAGCTTCATGTAGTACCTGTCAAGAACTCGCACAAGGCAGGGCATAATTCATGTGCCCAAATGTGGACATGCTAGGATATTCTGCCAGATACCACAAGAGAAGATCCAAAATCTACTTTTATGTTATATGTTGCACAGATTTTGGTTGTCTGTTACAAGTCCCCTTCTAATTTCTCCATTCGCTGTATGATAATATTTGAAAACAGCACCAAAATTTCTGGAAATGCATTAGAGACTAAAATCCACTGATACACAGGGAAATGAGAATAACAAAAGGAGAAAGACAGTTAAGAGGAATAATGACACTGGCTACCTTGAAATGTACATATTTATGCAAGACAATTGCAAGTGTAAGGGGCACCACATAAGTAGCCCAGAAGCTGGTGACTTCCATACCATATGAGTGGGTGATGAAGCTCTCATTAAAAAGAGAAGCCAATGCTTTGAAAGAACATGTGAGTTGATGAGTTGAGCAGGTTCTTGAAAATGGGAATAAAATATTTGATGCAACTGTGAAGGAGTAGACATCAAAAGAATGAAGTAAAAAGAAGGACATAATGGTCTTGATGAAGTCTAAGAGATTCATCTTTCTGAATGGTTGCTGGAGTCAGGAATATGATTGTGAAGGCCAGAAAAGAAGATATTGCCATGACTTATGTGTTAGAAGACAGGACGTTGAGTGACGTGGATGGAATGAAGAGACTGGACCCAGGAGAGTTGAATACTAGTGTGACTGGGGTAAAAGTCGGGTATTTTTCACAATACCCCATGCACATCATCTCTCTGCATTTCTTATCTGATGTGTGTAAGTTCAGAAGAACCCTAACTTCATTTGATCATTGATTAAAACAACAGTTGCCCTTTATGATGAATAGTCTAAATGCTGTGGGTTTTCTTAAGAAGACAGTAAAGAGTTGTAGGTTTGAATGTCTCTTGCTGAGATTCAGATCTGCAGTCTGCTTCAAAGAAGTCTTTTGAAGTCTTGAGGGAAACATGCTTTTAGCTCTTAGGGAAAGTGAGAGTACGTGCTCACAGCCTGCTGCTAATCTGATAACTCTTTAATTTTAATCACCCTGACAGTCTGTGGTAAACCATGTGGTTAACTATTTCGGGTACAGTAGCTTCTGTCAAAGCCACAGTTTGATGCAGTTGAGGAGGTAAATCCTTTGATAACACAAAAATATAAGGGGATTGAAATAGTCCTTAAGCAGCTTAGCTGTTAAGCAGCTCACAACACTTTTCATTGGTGCCCTCTTCAAACTCTGTGACTTTTATTAAGTGGCGAGATAATAAAAAAGGAGAAAGGGCAGAAAATATCAAAGCAGGAAAATGATGGGTGATTCTGAAAGGAAAGGGCATTGCAGGACCAGGTCTGGAAATCATTGATTGCATTACTGGCAGCAAGGCATGGCTTTGTTTCAAGGAGAAGGCAGCTTGGGAGTCAAGGGCAGATGCCACTATATGAACAACTATCAGGAATTCACAGTCACTCTTGATGGTTGCCAAGGCTGCATTAATTATGGTTACAGAAAATGTGAAGACACAGGACACAGAAGACACTAAGAAATTTTACTCATAATAGCTGTGACTATTATGCATAAGCTTCAAGGGCCATGGATCATGTACCCAAAGCTCCTGAATGCCAGTCCTGATGCAAACGGAATGTTTTATCTTTGAATTTCTCAGCCTTTAGACCTTACATAATCATTAAATAGTGCTTTCATCAGCGTCTGCGTCTTCAGCTCAGCTTCTGCTGACTTCTCAAGTGCACTGAAATGATCCAACTTAATTCATTCTAACTGATTAAGAAGTATATTTAGATGTGATTTGCTAATGACACGATGCTTAACGTCCTTGTTTTGGGGCAAGTTATATTTAGGTTTGCAAACTTATTTCACAGTAAGCTTCTCTTTGGCGTGTTCATTCTGAACTGCAAATCTATTCGTCTTTTAGCTCACACCTTCTGAGGGTGTGAGCATCCCTCTATTAGGAGGAGGATGAAGCTGAATTTGTACTGTGCATTAGTTCAAATGACCACAGGTTCATTTCAACCAGGCTGAGTCACAGGCAGACCCAGGTGTTCAGAGCACATGGTGCTGTTACCTTGTGGCTATGCATTTCCTCTTCATTTAGGTGCCTTTTAGATACCCCACAGTCATGTCTGTCTTGGGTCTGAGACTGTCCCAATTGATTGCTCTAGGAGCTATACACTTGGAGAGTTCTTTAGAGAGAAACTGGAAAGTGGGAATCATTTCCTACCCAGCTTCAGTGTTATGGCCTTAGTTCTCATATATAACCTCTTCAAAGCAGCAGTCACTGTGGATGACAGGAAAACTTGGGTTTCACTTGGTTTTCCTCTGGGCCCGAATTTGAACTTTCTTAGGGAGCTTAGATGAATCTCTTCAGATCCCTTTCTTCTACCTCTCAACATCACCACCATATATGAGACTGGTTTGATTGCAACCCTTTGGTTGAGAGCATGATTTGATCATGGATACTTAACTGATCTCTGGGTATGATCTGATACTGATGAGACAGAAAATTGTAGGAAGTTCTTGGTGAGTAAGGCAGATGGTGTCATATTTATGGGTTTTGTTTGCAGAAGAATGCCCATCTCTGCAGAGAACTGAATTTGCTGATGTTGTTGAAGCATATCCATTGGGGACCAAACTCTATTATGACTGTGATCAAGGCTATAAGAGAAGAAGTGGGCACTACCTGGGAATTCAATGTACGAGTACACACGGGATTGCTGATTGGTCATACAGGGACTTTGAATGCATTCGTAAGTAATTATTGTCCTTTTAATGCACACTGCAGCACTGTTTTTCCAATGAGTTAATCATTATAAGATGCCTCTGGACATTGCTATAACAAATGATCTTTTCTGTTTACCTTTGCATAATAAAGCTTATAAGGGTTTATACTATAAAAGTTGAGGTGCTCTGACTTGGATTTTCTGCTTGTCCTGTAATTCAGCAAATAAAACCTCTCACACGGACAAGAACATTTTGTTGTCAACGGTTCCCACGGTTCTGGTAGACTCTCCACAGAAGCCAGAAAGAAAAACACAGAGCCCTGAACCTGAGAAAAGAGAAAATATTCCAGCAATTGACTGGAAAGGTAAGGTGGAGCCCATGTACTATTGCAATCTTACTCTGCTCATTTCCATGCAATTTCCATTTTGGAAATTGCACCTTCAGGGTTTCTTTTTGTTGTCATAAAGAAAGGAAATCTTGCTATAATATCTGTTTTGTTGAACAAGTAATCTGGTGTAAGCAAATGACTGCTTGATATCCTCACAATGAATTAGGAAAGTTTGGTATTCCCTGCTTGTCTATGCCTCCTACTAATACAAACCCCTTTCACAAATGAAAACCAAAGGTTAGATCTACCTGCCTGACTGTGTGCTGCCTCGTGGTTTCACAGCTTTCTGTGGGATGCCCAAGGCCTTTCCACATGCCTCTTTAAGAAAGAATAAAGCGTATAGCGTGGGGCAAGTGCTGCATTTCAAGTGTCAGAAGGGTTATGACAAGCGCCCTCCCACCTCGGGCATCCGCATATGCAAGGAGGAGAATGGCAATATCATCTGGACCCCCCTGGACATTCACTGCACCAATGACAGCAGCTATAAGGGACCATCAGAGATTATTGAGTCAGGTAAGATGGTAGTCCTGGCTTCACATCATGGCCATGCAGGGGCCAGAACCTTCCAGCTCTGCACATTGGTGCAAGGAAATAGCCTGGCTGGGCTATGGGGTGGAGAGATTTGTGTAAAGTATTTTCGAAAATAGTGTAAATAAATAGCAAATAAGGATAAGAGAAAGTGTGATAGCCATGTGGAGTCACTACTAAGCACCCATCTCTGAGCAGGAATGAACAAATATCTTGACTCTGTATGTCTATTGGCTCTGGGTTAAGAACTCACTTTTAGGACAACACCTTCTATGAGGGCATCTCCCCTAACTCCACACTGCACCAGTTCAATGGAGATCCCTCAAAGACACGTGGAGAGAGACCAAGTATCTGTGACAGCACCGAGGTTCTCTGGGTTGCAGGCAGAGCTATTGCAGATGGTAGGACTCAACCATCCATCACCTCTACGCTTCTCAATCTTGCATTACTCTCCCAACCTCCCGCAAGGGAGCTCTGTGCCCCATTTCATACAGGTGAAAGCCAATCCCAATGGTCTGGATCAAAGCAAGCTCTTTAGATGACTTGATCCTACCAAATGAGAGTGTCAGCCGGACTTAGGCCTTTAAGGAAAAAATTATCTTGTGGCACTGTAGACATCTACTGCTCAGACATCTGCATCTGACCTTGAAAAACAACACAGAGAAGCAGATGTGAAAGGTGCTATGTTAGCTGCCCTGTTTAAGAGGTGTGGCTTGGGATGAGCTGAATTGCACCTTATAAGGACCTGTTTCTCCCAATGGCTAGGACAGAGCCCAGATGACTATCTATCTTGGAGGCCAGTTCTAGGTGAGAGGAACACCAACCCTTGTGACTCATAACCGCAATGCTATGGTGGAGCTTGGCCATCTTTGCCTCTAGCTGCTATTCTGACTGCAGAAATGAGCCACATTTCTCGTAGGAAAAATTGTCAGCCTTAACTGAGAATTTCTCCCCTTCTTTGTAGATCCATCTGTTTCCCAATGGTGTCTAGTTCAGAGTGTTTCAGGTATGGCAATCAATCACAAATTGTTTTTTGTTTTTTCTTCCTCCTGAAAGGTAATCGTTTTTTTGCCATTGCTTAGCCCTATCAGGATAAAAGTTGTATAACCTATTAAATGGTCAGAGATTATAAATAGTTGAAATATTAAAATTAGGATGATGAAAAACAAATTAGATAAGATGATGAAATAGGACTTTTTTTTGCTTTGACTTCTGAAGGACTATAATTCCCATCTCCTGAAGAAGAAAAGAATTACACACACTCAAATCTAAGCAAATTCATTCTTTGGAATTAGGGGGAGAGAGCACTGGAACAGTCTGCCCAGAGAGGTTGTGGAGTCTGCTTCCTTGGAGATCTTCAAAACCTGCCTGGATGCCATCCTGTGCCCTGTGCTCTGTGTGTCCCTGCTGGAGCAGGGAGGTTGGACTAGATGATCCCTAGAGGTCCCTTCCAACCTCAGCCAGTCTGTGATTCTATGAATTAGAGCTCTAAGAATTTATTCCATCATTGTATTGCCTTCACTTCATTACAATGTGAGGTCTTTAATAAGATTTAGATAAGGAACAGATTTTCCCTTTGCTCAGTTCTCCCCTGAGCACCCAGCACCAAAGGATTTATGAAGAGACAGTTCCTATGGGATCTTTTGTTGAAGACTTGCCAGTATTTTATATTGACTCATGCTCAGAGCTTCCTTTTTAGAATAAGGGAAAAATCTAATGAACTTCAATTTCAAAGAAATTCAAATAATTTCTTGCTATATGAAAGTGTTATGTTGAATTTCTGGGGGATAAGATGGATTTGAAGCCATGTTTCAAACCCTAGCCTGGCACTTGAAAGTCATCCTTCCCTCCCCAATCTCATGCGAAATAAAGATGCAATCTCAATTCCGTTCCCTAGAAGATACAATTCACTTTATGTCCACTTAATGTTCAGCAGAGCAGCAGATGTGTTTATATCCAGTCCGGAAAGGTCAGCTGATGGCCAAAAGACAAATCTGGCCATTATCAAGTCTGCTGTGCAGGGGAAGACCTCTCCGACCCATCTTGGCTCTACCCTCATCCCTGCTTTGGTTCGAAAATGAGCAGGCTCTTCTGTTAGAAGCAGTAAATAAATGCAAAATCATGATTTTCTCTCTCTTTGTAGGTACAATTCATCCCTCCTTTTCCTCATCTCTGATACAGCTAGTGACAGGTATGCCATTCTCCTAATTGCACTTGGGCTTCACCTCATCCCTCACATCAGTGACTTTGCCTCTCAATTTGCTGGGCTCCTGAAGAGACCCACCTCTGCTATAAAAGCTAATAAACAAACTTCAAGGAACATCAATGCCCATGTACTGGGTGAAAAGTCAGTAGAGAAAATGTAAATAGAGTCTGTTTAAGCACTCAAGCTTTTATAGAGACCATTTTTTTTTTCCCAAAGGAAATATGATGAATATAAGAGCAGATTGTGATGACTTTTTTCAGATCAGTAGATCAAAATGTAGCTTTATAATTGGAATTCTGTTTGAGTTTTGTCTCCAAAAGTTTGTGTAGATTCAATGAATAACTTTAACTGGAAAAAAATTAGTAATAGTTTAAATGCTTTGTTTCTTTCACATATTCAAAGAGGTTGAAAAGGGTGAGCAAATAAAATATTTCCTCTCAGATAAACTGGTACATTTAGATCAATCTGAAATGATTTTCTACTCCCCCTTCCCTGTCTTCAATTCAACCTTTAGCTGCTAAATTAGAAATAGTCTCTTGCTCTGCACATGTTCAAGACTTCAAGCAAAGGCTCTGGATTCCAGCTGGAGCCTGCTGACATTTGTAGCACACATTATAATACACAGGAATAATGGAGCGAGATAAAGGGAAAGGAGAAATACTGAAAGCTCTGCCAGAAACCACAGCATCCTTAGCCCATCACCATTTGGTCATGGCTGCTATTAATTTCCCAGAGCATTGCTCTTTTTTGAGGGTGTCCTATTTGCCCCAAGGAGCAAAGCAATGGGACGTTATGGAAGAGGTATTGCCTCTTGGCGTAGAGTCAAGGTGAGATCCTTTTTTCCCATGTTTTTCCTAGTTGGGGTAATCATAGTAATTCCTAGGGAGCATTACAGATAATGCCAGGTGCTAACTGTGCTGATTTTGTGTTTTAACAGCTATCTTTTTTGTTCTGCTTATCATTCCTGCCATCTTTCTGTGACTCACCGAACAAAATATATGGTAAGTAGGAAAGAATCAAGAGAATGTTAAATAAAAATAAATTAAAAAAAAAAAAATTAAAAAAAAAAAAAAAATCCCAAGCTATCAACTGCATCAGGCATTTTGATACTGCATTGTCTGGATTTCTTACTACCTTCATGGATATTAAGTTATTAAGTGAATGTCCCTAGATTTTGGATCATTTGGTTCAGATATAAATTGGAACACAGGAAAAGGAGGATTCAGAGTTTTTGAAATTAAATTGCCTTGTCCTTGCCAAGGTGTAACTGAGAATGACAGTTCAAATACAGGGGGGAAATGAATCCAGTGAGGAAGTTAGGGTTAATTATGCAAATATGTTGGTTTCAGATAGATTACACAATCAGTGTTTCTCTTTCTGCTTCATCTGTGGGAAGTCTGGTGGAGCATCTGCCACCACAAACACATAGTTCTTCTCTCTTCATCCTTCTGATTTCTCGGTCATGTCACGACTGCTTTCTGCTTTCCTATTCTTTCCTCTTTGCTAATCCTCCTCCATGGTCCCTGGCTAGTTATGAATGGGCTCTACTTCTCCACTGAATTTTCTTCCAAAAGGAGGAGAGAAGGAATCTGTGGAACCACAACAACCAGTTTTCAATAGGGCAAGGTGACAGAAAGCATAGATGCCACTTTGAAGCATATTTTAGTGATGAAGGTGGTCAGCTGTGCTGCAGGTTGCTGAGGCTGTTGGTCTGAACAAGACAGGCCAAAAGTTATCAGGAATTATATATATTTCATTGACCCTCAGGTGACAATGAGACAGCTGATCCAAGAGGTCCCTTGCAGCCATAGGGTAATTGAGACCTTAAGTGGTGTCTCCTGCAGAAGATGTAAATGTAGAACGTATCAGTAAATGTAGTAAATGTCACAGTAAATGTAGAAAAAAAGCATGTCTTTTTTGTAGTAAAGACCATTCAATGAGTTGCCGCATTCAAATCTAAGCTTGTGATGCCTTGCAACAGGTAAGATGGGGCTCAGCAGTGAGTCAAGTGTCAAGAGAAATGAGATTGCACCAGCACCTCCAAGACCATCATCATCAAATGAAGAGGAAGCCCAGAGACTCAAATTTAATGTATGAAGGAGACAGAAAATATATTCTACTGGGGGAAGAATAACTTTCTGCCTCCAGTATAAGAGCGTGCACGCAGTTATTTACAGGTAGAGAAAGACCCCAGCTTCCCCCAAAGGTCTTTCTGCCTCCTGCTTGATAGCTGATGCACAACTGCAACCTCCTGCAAGCTACTTGGTGCACACAGGCACTGCTGGCCCAGGCATGTGCAAGTCCATCCTCCTTAGACAGTGGCAAGAGAAGTGATGGCAAAGGCAAGAGAAGCTGGACACTGGTTTCCTTCATCCCGTCTCTTTATGTGCAGGTCAAGCCCAGCCACGTCTTTCTCCTCTTCACAATGTTTCTCTTGGAAAATGAAGTCCATTTACCTTCTGCATAAAAGCTATGAATCTGTATAGATCCCCTCATGTTTTAATATGCAGATGCAACAGTCTTCACCTCCCTCTTCCCAACTACTCCCTTCCACAGAAGAGTTGCTACGTTATTCATCCAACACAAGGAAGACTGCAGCAGCTGATCAATTTGACAGCTCCTTCCATAGCAGCAGAGCACCAAAGAGCATTTTAAGGGCATTTAAGAACCAAGTTAAGTGGTTCAGCATACACGTTATTTGACATATTCATATATTACTGGAGATTATGAGCTTTGAGTAGGTGCCTGCCTCCCTAGCCAGCTCCAGTACAGAAGGACAGGGCCATCTGACAAAATACAGACACCTTATCTGAGATATATTTAAGCCCAATGATGCATGGTTTAAAGGTGCCTATTTCTCTCCTTTGACTGTAAGTGATGACCACATTAACCAAATTACCTACAGATACTTACATATGTTTAAAGCCAGATGGGATGAAACCCTTTCGTATAATTTAGGAGGCATGAGAGATACCAGTATAGTTTTCTATTTTGTGATAGAGTGTATATGTACCATTAATTTTTACTGGTTTCGGTTTCCTTTGAGTTATTATTACTTCATACTCTTTTTATTTATATTCTCATGGCTTCCTTTTTTTTATTCTCATTGTAATAGGACTAATTTGTAATATAAATCTTTATAAAGATGGGTGTAATGGTCTATTAAACGCTGTTATTTTGTATGGGAATGGATGACAACCTGTATTTATGAGATAGATACGTTTTCGGACCCATTAGTTGCTCTGGAAGCTGCAAACAGCAGCACTAAGCAATTCTGCTTTGACTCTTTGATGTGTGTTACTTGTTGCTAAAGAACTTCCATTGAACACTGCAGTTAGTCTGACACAGCTTGTCCTGCTTAGGACATTTTGCAGGGAAAATGAATTCTTCATCTTGTTTGAATTCTCATTTCTACGCAGAGTTATCCACATAAGCAGGGCAGAGTCATATGTCTTCTGCTACAGATTTATATCCACCTTTCCCTGAGCTAGGTTAGCTCATGAGCTCTCTCTCCACATTCTACTTTTTCTTCTTGGAAAGCCCACTATTAAGGAAAACATTTTGCTGGTAAAGGACTTGCATGCCATGGTGGGACTGGAGAACTAGTGTAGAGTTTAATTTTTTAATTTTTAAATTTTCCTTAATTTTCCTTTCTTTGGGAAGTTAAAATTTCCTTAACTTTCCTTAATATGTCATTGTCTACACAGTGAGTCTGAATCCAGGTTATGGGGAGCCCAGGAGCTGCAAATACACTTCGATAGGAAGCTGTGACTCTCAATCAAACTGTACTTTGCCTCTCAGCAGGGCTCGCTGGCCCCTTGAGGAAAGGACTATGTCTAAAGCCCGATCCTACAACATGATGCACAGAGTGTTGAAATCAGTGAGATCTGGGAGTTTTTCCCTAGGAGCAAAACTCCGACTTGGGAGAGGTTGTGGCCAAGGGCTGTCATCAACGCTACTGCACCTCTTCTTGGCCACCATCACTAGTCTTATGTGAGGTGTAGCATTTGTTATCTTTATTTTGAAAACTTTGATCTTGTCTGTATGGAATGACTGATAAACTACTATAATAAATCATTACGGGTGTTTACCAGACAGCTTGTTTTTCTTTTTAATGATCTGTACTTTGGAAAATGCAACATTTATTTTCCTTTACCCTCTTATTTTAGTGAAAGATAAAAATATGTAGAGGGAAGGTCTATTACATGCTAAAGCTGACATCACACATTTAAAATCACACTTAACCTTTAAAATGCCAGAGGAAACTGAAAATATTTGGGCAAGGGGAGCTCTGACAACAATATCCGCAATACACATAGCAGGAAACAATAGGCTGGACAGTTACAGGACAGTAGAGCTTCTCAAAGAGGCCTGTCCTCTGCACTGAGAGCTGGAAGACAAGACACTTGTGTCCAGCCTTCAAAATTTTCACATGTACAGATGCTTTCTGTAAGATGTCCCCATCAGAGAGCTGAATCCCAGCCCCAGAAGACACCCAGACTTGCACAAGCTGTCAGTTGCTTCTGTAAATGCATCACTGAAGACACCCAAAAACCAATTTCCTACCATATGATATGCCCACCATATAGCAAATAATTTCTTATATTGAAGTTAAGATGTGTTTTTACTTGCTGTGACAAATGAGAAACAAACATAAGTGGGGACCTCATGAACAAGTGCTGCTCGATGGCCAAAAGTGGCCTTTATCGACAACTTGTATGGTAGATAGAAGACAAGGCTGAAGACAGAGAGCAAGGGGTCAAGACATATCTGTCTAAAAGTCATAGTCTTGACATTTCAGCTATCTAACTATTTTTCCAGATTTTTTTTTCACTTTTTCTATAGTGATAGCAGCCTATCAGGGCTAATATCTGCTCTTCTGTGGACTTTGAAGACCGGAGAGCAAAGACATTAGTGCTCCAGAAAGCCACAACTTCCACAGTCATTTCCAGGAATCCAACATCTTCTTTTTAACAGTTCTGTAATTATTTCCTCCACAAGTCTTTCTGCAGAAGGAAGTCAGAGAAGTTGTTCCTTGAATAGACTTTCCTTGTCAAGCTGCAGCATTCATACCCATAGAAAACATGACCCTATTAATGATAGGCTCTAGAGCTGAGGTCCCAACCTTGGGTAAGTTTCTTCAGGAGAAGGAATTGGAGTCTATTGCAAGAAATGAAATTAGGTCTCCTCCCAGAGCAATGCTTTGGGGTCTGCAATCCTTGAAGCAGCTCCAGAGGAGCCTACAACACCATGGGTGTCTCCAGGAAACCTCCCACTGGCTCAGGGAAGCTGATGGAGGCTGACAAGAAAGCCCATTTCCCCCCGCAGGCCTGGGGCAGGAGCTGGGTACCAGAAATACCCTGCTTCAGCATTTCCAAACTGAAATTCTCAGAATTTCCATTTTGGGGGGAATTTGGAAACTTTTGGGGTTTTGTTCTGATTCAGAGCGAAACCACATTTTGAAATGACAAAATTTCCTGTGCACGAGTAGCCCTGTTTTGCAGCTCGCTCTGCTTAAAGCCAGAGGTTTTATCTCTCCTCTAATTTTTATTGATTTTATACTGCTGAAACTCCCTCAGCCTTCAATAAAGCTAAGCATTAGGGCAGTATAATAGCAAAATAATAAAACTGAACTTTTCTTTACTATCCATTTTATCTATAAGTCACAAAACACAGCAAAGTAAAGATTATTCTACTATCTTAATGTCATGCCCTGGAAATAAATTGGCACTGAAAATGATGTAAACCAGCCTCCATCCCAGTTCACTGCTCTATGCATTCAGAATGAGATCTCAAAGCCTCAGAAGCAAATTACATATGAGATATTTAGGTACAAAGTAGTGTGCAAAATACAAGTCTTCAATTCGCCAAACTTGGGTAATGCAAGTAGGTTATTCAGGAAGAGATTAGATTCAGGTAACATAACTGTCGAACGAGTTGTTGTTGTGCAATGTTTTCAGAAACATTGAACAAATTTACATTATAAAAACTTTTCAGAAGCCAACATCATAGTTTGAAAGCAAATGTTAACTCACAGTAGGAGACCTGGCATCCAATATCTGAAAATATTTTCAGATAATCTCTTTCTCTTTGCCAGGTTAAATTGACACTGATTCCTCCACAACAGTTCCAAAATTTTTTCTCTTCCTGCTACAGCTTTATTCCAATCCTAGTTTACACCTAGTCTATAAGAAGTTTTCTTCTTTTGATCTTAGCTATGATTATTTTTCTCCTTTCATACAGACATATTCAATGACCCAATAATTTTGATTCTGCCACTCTCCTTTTATAAGCTCTCAAGTGACTTTTCTTCCCTGCTATCTCAAGCTTTCAGTCTTTACATTCAGGGTTCTTCAATTTATCCCCTGCTAGGTATTGCTCTAGGAGCTGCCCACTGTGTTTTACGTCTTTGATCTCCAGAAAGTGTAGTAAAGATCAAACAGATGATACTAAAGAAATGCAAAGATCCACCTTCAATTGCTCTTATTTTTAGTTGCAAAACAGTATATTTCACTTGCTTGGTTGAACAGTCAAGAGGGAGAATTCCTCTTCAGGACTCCAACCTTTCCAGTTTCTTTGATGACCTCGCAACACTTCATAATACTCAAAAATATAAATGTCCTTTGTTTTTTAATAAACCAAGCATTCTTCCTTTCCAACAACTCTCAGCAGTATAAAGCAGAAATTGTATTAATACAAACCACAATTTTGCTTTTTGAAGACCCACGTTTAACCACACAGGAAATTCCTATTGGGACCTTCTGTGAGCCTCAGGAAAGACCTTCTACTTGTTCCACCTAAGGAATTGCCGCTAGTTCTTCTCTCCCCATGGTGAAGTGCTCACCACAAGGTGCAGAACAAATCTCACACGGCCTGCTTCAATTTGCTTAAATATTGCCCTGCATGACAAGCCTAGCATTTATCCCCTTACCTGTTTGCATGTCCCCTTCAGCCATTGCAAAATCCTGGTGCATCTGGCCTTTCAGATCACAAATGTCATGGAAATCTCCAGGACATGTGTCACGTGTGCTTGCTCCTTTATTTCTCTTCTAACTTCAAGGTCATAGATCTGAATGACTTGCCCCTGATGAAACTAGAACCACTCTAAACATTTTGGCTCTTTAAACTACTGGCAGTCCTGTAAGCTCATGGGAACAGGTCATATCTGAACGGTTTGAGTACAGCAAAGCTGACATATGGACAAAGTAACCCTTTTACGGTCCATCCAGCCTTATTCTGTGAATCCACAAACCCTACGGACCCTTGGCAAGAGAAGCAGTTGAGTTGCAGCAAACATGAGCTCTTCACTCACTGATATGCCACATTTCTCAGAGCACAGGTAGGACAGAAGAGCCTGGCCTACATGCTGGCTAGACTCTTTGTGCTAACTCACACTCTGCCTTAGGAGCATTTGCAACCAAGACATCCCCATGCAGAGATTAAAGGGTTCAGCTTAGATCACACAGGAAGTCTGTGGCAAAGCTAGGAATAGTAACTTGCACTAGTATACTCCGGAGGAAAGCTGCCCCTGCAGCTCAGCGCTGGCCCTGTCTTCTGCTCTCTTGGACATGCTTATACATACAAAGATGATCTGCGAAGGAACACCAGATTCTTGGCCAAGGTGTCTCTTAAAGATGTCAGATGTGCTTCCAGGCTGCACAGGGATAGAGCACCTGGAGATACTTTTCTAGGATGAGTAGCATACATCTGAGGCTGCCTGGGAGAGCTGTGTGCTCTTCAGCATCCTCAGCAGTTGATGCAATGAAGACTTGGTCTACAGGAGTTTAGCTCTTCCTGTACCTCTTAAGTAATTTATCCTTCATTTCTAAAATCCCAACATCCCACTAATGCCCAGAGCTGTTTCCCCAAACAGATAAACACAGAGCAGAGCAAACAGTGAGTTACCTTCCCTTCGAAGCGCAGCAGAAGGTTCGCAGTAGATGGAGGAGATTCCTGTCTCATCATGGATTTCTGTGAGAGTCACTGGAGCAGCCCACCAAAGGGCTGCATCGCTATTCCTGGGGCATATCCAGGGAAATCGAGCTCTTCCCCATTCCTGGCATTGGCAGAAACCAGGGGAAATCACAGAATAAAGCTGCCTGGAGGCTATTCCTGAACCTGGGGATCCTGTGGGTTAAGCAGTCCATTGCTCAGCTCCAAGCTGGGTGCTGAGTGAGGTGTCCCTGATATTTGCTGGGGCATAAGCACCAAGCTGATTCATTTATTCCTTTGGCTTTCCATGTATCTCATGCTTGTTTTCTGTGGTGGGGAGGGTGTTTCTGGGTATGGGCATAGGGACAGGCCCTGGGAGCTGGCAGAGGGGTGACTCATGGAGGTGGTCAGTGGGAAGAGCCAGGGGGATTCCAGCATGTCTTGGAAAGTAGAGGTGGGAGTTTCTTTCAGAGACACGGATGGGACGAGGAGCCACAAGGACAAGTGTGGTTTTGAGTCCCAGCAGGTGTGAGGAGGTGGGTTGAATGAGTCAGACAGAACAGGGCCCTATGAGTAACCTGAAAGGTGTCTGCTGAGGACATGCTGGGGACTTCAATCTGAAATTGCACCAGTTGCACCAGCTCAGTGATTTATGGCAGCTTTTGAAATTTGGAGCAAAAATCAGGCAAAGGCATGGGACTTGGGACACCAGGTAGCTTTCCAAGAAAGTGAGGAATATTCTCCTACCTCTGTCAGCAACAGATATGAAAAAAAAACACTATTTTTGTTACTATTGCTGCAGCACTGAAGACTTCAGGAACAGTCTGTGGTACTGGGCACTGCACAAAGATCTGGAGTGGGACGAGGTTACCAGAACTCAAGTGCCTAGAATCCTTTGGGATGCCCTCAGGGACCTTGTGTGGCCTCTTGTGTGGCTGCTCACAAGGTCATCCTTAGATCCAGCAGTGGAACAAACAGAGGCTAAATTATATGCTGTATATTGACCTTTTACACCCTTTGAATACAGTAAAAAAAAAAAATTAAAAAAATCTACATAAATCTGAAGATAAGGTTCAGATGCAGAACAAAATGAAATTTTTTAACCAGTGTATCACAGCAATTTATCTTTTATTGCTCAAAGTCTGCTATATAGCTCATCCCTGAGTCTGATACCTCTAATGGCGCATGGTCCAAAAGCAAGCAAACAAAAACCTGTAAATAAATTTACATAAGAACAGTCTTCATATAACCTCAGGGTTAGGGAGCTTAGTAATGAGCTCTATATTATTTCCTTCCTTCTTGATTTACCTATCTACATATAACCAGAATGCCTTTCATATGCTTTGTGGTCTTCCTTCTTTCCATCTCTTTCCCTCTGTCCTTCTCTTTTTTCTGCTATCAGTGACTGCACTTGCATTTACTGAATGCAAATGCATTATGTATAGCACAAACCTTATAGCTAACCAGCACTCCTCTGACTCTTTAGTTACCTTGTCCCAAAGTGAAGTCCTATGCTCTAACTGATAAGGCAAGGCAGCAACAAACTACCAGTGACGTCAAATGAAGGGATGAAAGAACTATAATCTGAATATCTGACTATGGATGAAGAAGAAAAGAAAAAATAAAGAAAGTCGAAGTCTGGCTAGCTTTAAAGACAGGCTCTGATTCCCTTGCCCATCCGCCCAGCCAGACACTCCTCCTGGAGACATCCTTTGAAGCCTCCTGACAAGGTTGGTGGTGACAAGCTCCTGTTGGTGACAGGACAAGGAAGCAAACGGCTGGAGCTTCTGCTGGCCCTTCTTTTATCAAGGGAGAAGAGACAGACTCCAAGAGGCAGAGCCAGGAAAGCTGCTAGTGACGGAAGCAGGACAGCGGGTGCACAGCGCATGCAATGAGGCTGCTAGTGGCAAAAGCTCCTGAGCCCTTTATACCCAGAGGGGTGATGTGAGGCTTAGTCTCGAGGACAGTCTCTGTCAAACAGAGAAACCTGGTCCCTTCCATAGAGCTGGCTCAATGCCTCCTCCAGCTCTCCCAGCGAGACGAACTGGACGTCGTTCCTGTCATTCTCAGCGATGACAGCCCAGGCCTTGAGCTCCTTGTCACTGTCCATCTCACAGCAGACACCAGACCAGAGATGACTGGGTTTATTAACCCGCCCACCTGCAATATAGTTGTTCCCAGGCACGGCACCCACGACGACGTAGGTGGTGGCACAGCCCTGTGTCTCCTTGATCATTACTTGCTGCTCGTAGTTTTTCCAGGCTCCACCGTTGAGTTTTTCATTCTGGGGAACGATGTTGGTGAGGGTGAAGGTGGCCGTCCTGCTGCTGTTGTCAGGATGATGGCCGCTGGGGTTCAGATGACCGCGATTCAAACCCGTCAGGTTCTTGTAGTCCACGAGGACAGCCTGGCTCTTGCTGATTTGCTCCAAGGTGACGTTATAATAGTTTATGAGAACCCATTCTCTTGCCATTGAGCTGGGATAAACAGAATCCATCAGCTTGGGGAGTAAAGAAGAAAGGGTTTAGTTCTTGGGGATAGGAATAACGGAGCAGGTTGCCCTGCAGTAGAAGTCTCTGAGAGCTTAGAAAACAGCTGCCATCTCCAGCTTTTGCTGGATTTGGAGATTTTGCCATCTCCACGTAAGAAAACATTATCAGAGATCATAATGCTGACACCCCTTCCCTACAAATGCAGGAAACTGGAAGAAAGCAAAGTTCAAAATTTGACTGCTTTTGATTTGACTTGTGACCTTTGAAATCCTCCCTGCAGCCTGCTGTGGAAGTGCGGGTGGACACAAGAGATAATGAATATTTTCCATTCTCCCAAGTTTTCAGAAAAAGCTGAGTTGAGTGAGTTGTCTGCCCTCACACAACTGGTTCCCTTTTTTTTTTTTTTTTTTTTTTTTTTTATCATTTATTTAACCTAGCCCACTTATTCCTGTGTGCCTGTGACTGGACTCTTTCACTAGATCATCTCATCCATTTCTGAGTTTCTACAACTTTGCTCATAGTGCTTACAAAGCCAAAGTAACTCTTAACATGGAGCAAAAAAACTATGCCATGGTGGCACAGCAGCTCAGATCAAACTGGTGCCCCAAGCTGAGCTCTTTTTCCCATGATTTGTCCTCTCCACTTCAGCATGCGACAAAAAGGGGTTATATGGCTAAATGGAGAAATATAGAACATAGATATATATGAGACGGTCATCTAAGTTCCTGTAAGGTCAATGCAGACATATGTGCACTTCTAGGACCTGACTCATCCCATCCTCCTGCTGATGGCTAAAATGAATCAAAGGAATCATGTGTTCAGGGCGCCTGAAGTTAGATGAAATGAATCCCCTCCAGTGGGCCCATTTTCATGTACATAGGGAGAAAGGGCAATATTTGGTTTTACATTGCAGCTCAGGTTTATTGGCTAGAGGGAGATGTGCTGTAAAAGAGGATACTCACCTGGGGCTCAACCATCCAAGTTTTGGGTCTTTTGCCAGATCCAGGCTGGTACAGGTAAGCGGAGTATACAGGTATACGTCGGTCCCTGTCATATAGAGTAGCAAAATAATACTTGTTTTTGTAACGTTGGCAAATCCGAGCTGCATTTTTTGGTTCCAGGGCTTCATTTGGTGGGGTTTCCTTGAAGAAAAACTGAGGGCATGAATGTTCAAACGATGTCACCACCTCACTGCGTCCCAGCCAGAGGCAGCTCGCTGAGATCTGTAGCAGCAGCAGTAACAGCATTTTGGGTGGAAATCAAGCTAAAAGTTCTTGCACCTGGAGGGCAAATGCAGACAGAGACAGGTTTCACAGCCTGGAGTTGTTTTTGTCCTGGAAAAAAGAGGACATTGAAAGATCAAAGAGGGAAAAAAGTCTTCCGGCACCTTCTCCTCTTTACCTGGGGTGAAAAACTATGACACAGCTGGTTCTTCAAGATGAGCTGAAGTTGGACATCTTTTGTCCAATCCTGCCTCCTTTTCTTCTGCTTTTTTTTTTTTTTTTCTTTTTTTTTCTGCTTTTCCTTTTGGAAAAGCAGTGACCTTCCTATTTGCATTGCTAGATCTTCAGCTGAGTAGTTTTAAAATGTGTAACATTGAAAAAAGGCAAGTAGAAAAATCAGCTGAGGTGATTCATAGAGGAGAAAGCTGCCATGGTCTGTAAAACACACAAAAATCCACCTTTGGCTGGGGAATTGTCCAAACTGAGGACTGCTGAAGAAGAGGAAATTTACCTTACACTTCTGCTTTTTTTTTTTTTTAAATTCTTTTCCCTGAGTCTCATCTATTAAATTCCACTGAATTCAGGATACGGAGCTAGAGATAGCCATGCTCTGACCCAAGAGACATCTGGTACAATTATATTTAGCCTAAGCACATTATGGCATATTTTATATTGTCACCTATTTACGTATTTTTAGCTGAAAATTGCCTTGATTTCACAGCCCAAGAGTTGTTTCTTACAGTCATCTAAATGGAAAGTTACAATGAGGGCTTTTTTGCTTTTTCATTTTTTTCCTCTTGACTAGCTTTGGATCAGGAATGTGGAAAGCAGTAACCTGAAAATTGAGAAGTGAGAAATCCCAGAGACATATCTCTCCTCTAGGCACTTTTTCTAACTCGTCATTGAGAAGTGATTCATCCTAGCAATCTCCAGAGAGTAACTGCTCTAGGTTAGACAGAAACATTACTGAAAAGTTCTTCCTCTTGACTATCCCCTCCATGATCTTTATATATATATATATATATATATAAAAATAAGTACATTTCAGGTACACAGAAACCAACATACCGTGTGTAAGAGCAGCAGATGAATTTGTTTATTCTTGTGGTTTTGCTTGGAGCCCCAAAGGGGTAGAGGATTTTCCACCACAGTCTGAAACTGGCTGTGACCTTGGGGCTGTTTATATATGATCTTCAAGAAGGGAGAGTTATACGTAATTCTGTTTTACTAGCTTTCTCAAACAGGATTTGGAGTAAGACTGGTAAGGGGTGGAGCCAGGACCTGTGCTTTTCCATAGTTTTTTTTGCAAGGTCAAGGGCAGAGTTACAGTACCCTACAAACTACCTCCTCTTATTCACAAGTCTGCTCAGTTCCTATAGCAGTTTGGTATAAATTTTCCAGGTGACTTGGCAAATGAAAAAGTTTTATTATGCAAGGTGTTTTATGACATTTCTGAAACATCTCTCCCTTATGAGAAAACCTCTATTAATAGAAGGCCAAAACACGACCATGAATCTACCCATTTCTGAAGACACACATGAAAGAGGGTGCAAACCACAAGACTATTCCTGTCTGCTGAGCATGGGCTGTGGGAAATCACATCCCAAAGAGCCTGCTTGACTTCATTGATTATGAAAGATGTTCAGGGCCCATAGCTCAGCCCTGCGAACTGCATGGATGCCTCAGGTTACAAGGGATAAATCCAATGTACCCTGACCGAATGTAAGTAGACTGAGTCTGGCCCATCATCTTCATAGCCTGTGGTTGCATCTCCTCAGTTTGAAAAAGAAGATTGTGCCACGGCTTTGCGGAAACTTTGAGAGGGTAAGAAAAAATTGAGGGTCCATCTAAGGGTATAATATGGATGATAAATGTTCCCCTTCACTATATGTGAGGACACACTGCAGGATCCAATAGTCGTCCTGCGTGCACGCACACTCATGTGTCCATAGGGACACTCACAGCAACTCAGATTACACCTTGTCACAAGAAGGCCCTGATCAAAGACTGCAGAAAAAGGGAGAAGGAGAAGAAACATCTCACGGTTTCAATTATAACTGATATTGTTGGGAAGTTACCAGGTGAGCTAACAACCAGGCCAACCAACCTCACACTTGTCTTTGGGAGATAACACCGGTGTTACCACCACAGTCCCTATGGAGCCAAATGGTTTAGCTGAATAACTAAGACCTGCTTAGCCAAGTTCACGCTGTTTTAATTCCAGAGTGCTAAATACCTTTGAGGCTTGTGAAAAGTCACTAGAAGTGCAGGATAGCCACTTCTTTGGAAGTTATTTAATGATAACAACAACAAATGACAATAGCAATATGAAGATTATTATCATCTTGATGGTGAATAATTAAAGAAAAAACAGCAAGGAATCTCTTTTCCTACAATTTGACATCTCAGTCCACTGTTAGGCATCTTGCTGTGCTGTTCCCTGGGCTTCCTGTGGTTATTGTTTCTCTTAAGCATCTTTGGCTATGTCCAACACTTGGCTGGGACGGTTGGTGAGTAGCAGCGACAGGAATAGATTGACTAGTCTGGATTGTCCCATCAAGGTCTGGAGCCTCTTGCAGATGAACAAAACATCACCAGAGCTGCTAGAGGCTCCGGGGCTCTGGTCTAACAGCATCTGGAGACCGGCTTCCAGCTCACAGTGGAATAGTTTATTCCCTTTGGAAACAGTGTTCCTTCCTCAAGGGTTTTGATCTGAGCATCAGCAAAAGTACCATTTATCCTAGACACCACCTGATTTTTTAATTTTATTTTCTTATAGACTGGCTATTAGCCCACATAGGAACAAGTTTCCAGCTTCCTCCAATCTCTGCTGCCTCTAAGTACCTTTCTCACGTTCTCCAGGTCTTTGCCTTTCTCTTTTCTATGCTTGTGTTCCCTTCCCAAGTCATTTCTTCTCTCCTCACCCTCTCTAATAAATTGTAAAGTACTTCAAGTATGGTGCATGTGTAACCTCCTCCTAAAGTGGTGGGTAGATCTTAGCAATTGCACTTTTGCCCACTATGTTTTCTCTTAAGTCTAACATAACACTTAACAGAGAAGAAATATTAAAGCTGATAGTGGAAAAAAAAGAAGTGAGAACTTACCTTGAACCACCAGTCTCAGAAGAATTGAGCTATCGCTTCATTCTACTCCCTGGACAAGCAGATGCATGTTTCCTCAAGAGGGCCCCTGCAATATATACCAGGTTATAAGTCTGCCCCTTTTCACAACAAAGGAAACTCACAGAAAGAAGAGGGATTTCTGTCACTACTGTTCTGAGGAGATTTGTTCATGCTGGTCCTGAAATAGAGTAGCAGTGGCTACTTGCAGTTTCCCCAGGATTTCTTTCAAGTTTGCTGACTAGAATCACGTGTCAGAAACAGATAACTGTGTCTGGTGATTTCGCTTTCCATTTCCTCATTTCCCAGGGGCACAGCAGCCCTTACTGCAACATCTTCACACATTTCTATTCCCAGCACAACGTCCCTACAGGCCTACCCTGCAGCCCTGGGATTGCACATCGCTGGCGAGCAGATTTCAAGCTCAGGAGCTTGAGATAGGTCAACTTGGGCCCAGAGACATTTTTTTGGCGGCACATAAATCCATGGTTGTGTGCCCAGGAGAAGATAGAGCAAAGCAAGCACTAAATTGTTTCCCTGACATTAGACGACACAGTCCAGCTTTGAGCATGCACGAATCTTCCAAAATTGGCTTTTCTGCAGCCTCTCAGAAATTCAACATAATCAACATGGTCAGAGTATGTTTCCTGTGCCTGATTTGGATGAGTTTGGAGCAGCACTTATTAATGCCATCTGACAGGTTTTGAGGGCACATCACTGTCCTAAATTACTGTGGAGTATTTATTATATACTTACATTTTCTAGAAAAAGTAATATTTACAAGTTTTATCTCATTAGACTTCAGGTCCTCTTCTGTATCTGCACTCATACCTGAACCTCATACTCTCTCCTCTTATGTAGCACTGCATTTATCACCTCCAGGTTGCATCTTCACAAAATAAGTGATGTCCAAATGGCTCTTTCTGGGCAGCAAGTGTGCAAGGGACTGCAAAACACATCTTCTGCCTTTACAGGCACTACTGCATTTGTGTTCAGATAGGATCCCAAACTGCACACTAAGGATGCTGAGTGATGCATTAGGAGGAATGGGCAAAAGGTATTTTGGAGGTGGAGGCAGAGATTGGGGTTCAGTAGGCTGCCTTCTCCAGATCTCAAAGGGCAAAGATGACAAGAGGTATTGATTCTTCTGGTCTTGCTAAGAGACAGCTAAAGGAAAGATATGAGATTCCAAGATTAACAGTGGGGTGGAAATGGGACTGAAGATCATTAAAGATTATGGCCAAGAAACATTGGCAGTAATGGGGATGTATTGGAGCTTGGGGCCTGCACTAAAAATAGGGTTTGACAGTCAGGGACCAGAAGGAAGGTGGATCCATTGGCCTGAGCACTCATGTTAGAGCATGATAGAAGGGCTTTTGCAATATTTTGTATAAATTAAAAACTGCAGGAAGCATGAATATTTGATCCTGAATTTCCCATCACGATATAGACCTTATAGTCCTCTTGCCACATGCTGTGTCTTACCCTGAGTATCTATGAACTCAGAGCTCGGCTTCTCTGATATAGCAAATGCTTCCAAACATACTGCAGTCAAAACACCAAGAGGAAAAAGCAGCTGTCTCCTTGCATTGGATCTCACTTTTTGAGCCCTCTCCTTGTCCTCTGAGTCTGTTCCTGCTACATTTTGTCAATGTGACGGATTCCATATTTCTTGACACTGGAGCAGTAGAATTAAAGACAGCTTTTGACGGAAATTTCTCAAAAAGAATAGCAAGAGTCTGAGCCTGATGTCTAGGCAATCCTTGTTGGTCTTCTGCTTTTAACAAAGTGTAGAATCAGGCCATGGCACTACCCTGCTGCCACTCACAGTCTTGTTATATGTGGAGAAAGAGAACAGGCAGCCAATTCCAAGTTTCTCTCTCCTTTTTTTTTTCCTTCCACAAAGAGCTTAAAATATCTATAGGACAACAGTGAACAGTCAGAGAAGGTAATGCAATCAACATCCAGCAGTTACGACGAAAGTTCAAGTGAAATATAGCCAACATTTTCAAAAGGCCTTATGCTGAAATCCCACACAGATCAATTTGCAGCAAGCCGACCTTGGATGAGTAAGAATTTTCTATTGATATCAGCTATATATGCTAAACTCTTAAATGGACCAATGTAAAACTCTTATGTGGGCACTCTTTTTTTTTTTTTAGGAAGTGAAAGAAAATAATTCAGTTTAATTCTGAGTATGTGACCTCTGGGAATGAAGCTGAACTCTTCCATTTTAAGCCCACACTCTTAGTTAATCTGGACAAGTTTTCCTGAATGTATCCAAAAACACATGTCTAAAAATATAGATAACAGGTTAGGAGCACTTTAACAATGAGTTGGTGAAATAACAAGAAGGAGCCATGAACTTTACTTCCTGCTCCTGGAGTCTAAAAAGCCATGCTTTTGCATTTTATTGATTTTTCTAAAAAATGTCCTCCAAAATTCAAAAGCTGGCATTATTTTACCTTTCATGTCATAGTGGACAATGGTTGTATGTTCTTCACAGCTGTGAACTTCCAGTATGAGTGAGGTGAGATGCACTGAATTAGCTCTCCTCTAGACAAATACCTACATAGTCTATCTTGTAAGGAAAACCTCCATTTCATAGACCCTTAAAACAGGGAGGGGAAAATCCTATTGAATCCTCCAGGAGGATTCTGGAGCCATTCTCTAGGAGCCAAGAGGTTTGTAGATGTAGCTCCTCCAATATTTTCTCCAATTGCATCATAATTGAAAGAAACAGGATTCACGGTGCTTCTCTAGAGGATGTATACCAAAGTCTTGGCTTCTCTACATGCTTTCTTGATATCTACCTCAATTTTCTTTCCAGTGGGTGCCAAAGACAGCAGTTTCATTATTGCAGGTAGTCCTGTGTTAGTAACTTCTTTCCGTATTCTTTCTAACTTCTTTCTTATTCTTTTTCTGCACAGCTGACATGGGGCAGAGGTGTGTTTTGTGCTGTAGAAGCCATTCATAGGATCACATAGTAATTCAGCTTGAAAGGCACCTCAAGAAGTCTCCAGTCCAAACTCTACCTCACATTACGACAAGCCATGAGGTGGTGGTACAAATGAGAAGACAAGCACAGTAGGAGGAGGAAAGGCTACTGCAGAAGAAGTGATACCACAAAAGCCTTTTCTTGACTTCTTGGTCCCCATGGAAGGAGCAAAGAGCCAAAGGGAAGATGAATAGACAGAGCAAAGCTGGTCCTCACGAAGGATTAAATTATGGAAGCCACAGCCAAATGGCGATGAGAAATCAAAGAATGAGGAAGGGAAACATTGCTCCAACGTGTGAATTGAGAAGTATGCTGTTCTGAGAAGTATGCCTGCCCTCTTTTCCTTAGAGGGCAGCAAAGATCCCAGAATTTCACAGCCACAGGCAGGATGTGAAGGTGTCCAGACTCTGGACATGTCATGCTCATTTACGTGTGTGTCAACCGCCTGTTTTGGGAGGCAGTCCACTGATGTGAGCGTGGGCAGAGAAGGAGTGTTGACACACTGTGAACTGGCAGAGCTGGTCAGTGCACTCTTTCATAACAACCAGGATGCTGAGACATCTACATCTCACTCTACCTCTGCGCCAACTATGTTCACCCTTATGAGGTGTTCCAATGCTCATGACCTTTAAATGAGGGATAAAAATCTGACCTAGACCAGACCAAAGGTTTGAGGTGCCCAATAGAGGCAGCTGCTTCTTCTGCTCCTTCCTGGTTTCCCAGGAGTGACCTCAAAGCTCCACTACACACATCTCTCTAAAGGAACACAGCTCATTTCCTGTACAAATAATACAGCCCTTTACCAGGGTCTGCAAAAGTCATGAGATTTATGGAGAAAATAAAGGAAATAAGGTGAGACTGCAAAAGATTTATTAGGTCACCTGTTCTTCCACAGGCAGAACAGGTGCATTTTACTGATTTTAAATTATTTGCCCTGAGTTATTCTTCTGTGCAATATGCTTCTTAGGCCATTCTTGCTTTTTGGATACAAATGTGCTAAATTCATCTTTTCCCCATAAGGACCAAGTGGTGATTTTAATAATCAGTTATTTCCAGTTCAACTGGAAAATTCGGCACGTGCTCCTGGCAGCTTTAGGTGTATTATCTCCAGTAGACTGACTGCCTTGGCCTCTGTACATGCAGGCCTGACAACGCTTGGTGTCAGTGGGGTCTCATCTTCAATACAGATGAACCACCTTGCTGCAAATACTCACCAACTGACAGTTGTTGGGTTGCCTGTGGTTTCTTTCACTCTTTCAGTTTCATTCAGCTTTGGAGACCAAAAATCAATCTGTAGTTTTCACTTTCCAATTCATGTAGCAGCACGGGGTCTGTTGGGCAGTTAAGCAGTAATCGAAATCCTTCACTACGAACGTGTGTCAGTATTTCTAGATGTCAAATGTTCCTGCATGAAGAGAAGGCAGCAAGTAAAGAGCAAGATATTTGCCTAGACGGATGAAACCAGTGATATATTGACATAGAAGGGAAATACAAACACTATGAACTGCCTATTTTATGACAGATGGAAAACTTATGTTAACCTATTAACCTTATATAAAGCTCTTATAATGAAAGCAGTAAGAAGAGATGCTCACCTTCAGAATATCTATAACTGGGATTCATTTAACTTAGCTCAGGCAGTCAAAAAACAGATTTCCAAATGTATGTTTCATGAAGAGAACAAGACATCTCCAGGGAGAGGTTCATGCTAGCCTAAATTAGGCAAATGTAAAACGCAAAACTATGTAAAACAGCTTTAATAAAAGCATTTACTTCTCTGTATTGAGTATAAAGGCAGTCTAAACAGATATCTCTGTCATTAAAGTCTGACAATTAGCTGCTTCAAATTTTGTGAACTAAATGCACTCTCTATCTTGGTGATTTTGATCTTAGAATACAATGTCCACATAGAGGAAGAGCATTGCAAACCGAGACACAACAGCCTTGGGGTCTCGCCTGCATGTTTTGAGGCATTTCCTTCCCACATAACCCACAGGGCAGCTTGGTTCTCACCCTGCATTATGAAAATTAGCAGAGAACATCCTAACACCTCTGTAAGTTACAAGATGACCTAGGTTAGGTCAGATAGATGGGTTTCCCCACAGAAGAAATCATGTGCTCAGAACTCAAGGAACTCAACTCTGTGACCAAAGTGAGACTCCTTACTGATTTTAATGGACTGCATTAAGAAAAGCAAGCCTCAAACTGATGGGGAAATGCTGCCAACAAAAGCAGGGCTAGGCAGTGAGGGATGGAGAAGATGTATCTGTGAGACCAAAAGGAGGGACCAAAATGCATTTAAGTCAGTGATCAAGGATCATTCTTGGCTGTAACATCCCACCACTGCCTACTCACATGATCTGGGTCATGAAAAATTATAGAAAAAGGGCTAGACAGGTTGGGAATCTACCCTCTCTGTCCTTGGAATGAGTACATTTCATCGGCTTTGGGAGATCCATTTATTCCAACTCTTTCTATTGCTTCTCCTTCAAAGAACTTGTCTCATTCAACTTAGCAGCCATTGCAGCTTCAGCAGAAGCTGCTGTGCCTGAAATAGTCAACCACAGCCTTCACCACAGCCTGTCAAAGCAACTAAAACTAATCAGCTGTTGGGATTAGCAACCTCGATGACAAGTGTTCTTGTTTTACCTGCAAGCTCAAAGCTTGTCCCCTTTCACCTCCTCTGGGTTTGTTCACCTTTATGGTCAATGGATGACTCTTATTTCAGCAAGATACAAACTGCATCCAGGGAAAAACAGAAGCACCGAGGTGATGTGTTGTTGTGATTGGCTGCTGGTTTTACCACCAGCGAGGCAAATCAAAGGACCTTGGGACAGTAAGTTGATCTGGAAAATATTTCACAGCCTGCAGTTGTTCCTCCAGGAAAATGGAAGTCCCAAGGCATTAAAGTGACTCTGAAGCTTGAATCTGGAGGATTTTCCTCCTTTCACCATGTGCTCATAAAAGCATGCTTATTCATAAGATAGAGGAACAATCTTGGTTGTGCTTTGATTCCATGAACAGGTTGGTTTTTATAAAAACTAATCCATGCTATGACTTTTGTAAAGGCAAGTTTTTTAGGAGGATGAAATATCCATATTTATTAAGGCAACATTTTTATTACTTCACCTTTGTCTTGTCTTCCTAGAAGACTGCCATATATATGAACTCCCAGACCCTGTTAAGACTTGGGTGGTCTGAACCCACCTTTAGATATGCTACAAAGTTGGTCTTTGGCCTGGAGCACATGTTTTAGGAAAGGAGGTCAAGGGTCCTTATTTGTTGAGTTTGGCAAACAGGAATCTAAAAGGTCCCAATAGCTGCCTGCAAATATTCAAAGGTTGGCTTCAAAGACAGGCAATGGAACCAAGTTTTTGTTTGTTTGTTTGTAAAAATGAAACAGAACACTAAAACAAACGTCAATGCAACAGACTGCAGCTTTGTAGGTACAGGATGGACAGGAGGATAAAAATGGTGATTGGAAGTATAGTTTTTTGGGAATGACAAGTGATGAAATGTGAAAATGTTTCAAGACTTAGCTGAATGAAACCATGGCTGAGCTTTATGAGAGCTGACAATGCTTCTTCAATCAGGAGACTGGATTAGAGCCTTCCAAAGGTCCTTTCTGCCTAACGTTTTATGTTCCTATGATAGACACATCCTCCACACCCAAAATCCTCCCACCTATATTATGGTCAATTAGGAACGGTCAATTCCATCATCTTGAAAGCTGCAAGTAAAGTCTTCCTACACCCAAAGCCACAAAAAACACATCACATACCTCAGAGAGCCAAGGGAGGGAATGATTTCGGATCCTGGACTCTGCTAAGGAATAGATGGCATCCCAAGCAAGATCCTGTCAACTCACTTCCAGCAACAAGGAGAGACTGAGGATCTCCAGTGGTCTCTGCACCAACCCATTTTCTTCTGCTAGCTGTACAAAATCACCAGACCATGAGAATTGCTCAGCTGCTCAGGACTCCCAGGTTTGCCATCTCTGCAATAAACACAGAGCATGCTATTGCTCATTAATTATGTTGAGGGTAATTAGCAGTTATGTTGACAGGAAGGTTTCCAGCAAAGCTGTTGGCTCATTCTGTATGGAAATTAGGTTGCTAACTGTGAGTGGAAATACGTCAGACTGGACAAACTCCAGAGGAAGAGTCTCGTGACTATTTAGAAAGCTGCACCTTAGCTCAGCAGTTGGACTTTGAGCGGACCTGGCATCTTCGGACGTTTGTGAATGCAGAATGGCAGGAAAAGGCTGCAGTGGGCAACCTTGATCTTTACTTCTCCTCTGATCTGAAGACATCAGCCCTAGCAGCTCAGTGATCAGACCAGAAAAGATATGATATTGCTTACATCTCTTATAATGGAGCATAATGTGGAGCATTAGCCAACCACTTAAACTGGGTGCAGTTTAAGTCAGTGTAAAACCCTTTACATTTTGATTGTCTGTGCTATGCAATATTAATGTTTCCCAAGTGCATTTCAAGGATATGCATGTTAAATCCTGTGACTATGCCAAATAACCACACAATTTGCTCTTTACTTATTGCTACTTTAAACCTGAGTCCGGAATACAAGCTGATGACCAGTGGGAATATGGAGTCAGTGTTCACATACAAAGGCCTGGAATGGCCTTGTGATGTGTAGATGAAGAAAGTATTCAGAGCTCAAATCTTGGCCAGGAACATTTCCTCGTCATGCTATATTCCCAATGAACTGGGCCTTGAAGCCAGACGATCCTAGACAAGCAATTGCAACAATCCCCTCCAATCTCACCTGGTCTATGCGGTTCAGACTCGTATTGTTGCTTCCAGCGGTTTTCCGGAGCTCTGTTGATTAAAGGGCAGGACTCATCCTGTTGAAGAGCTAGTCTCCAGCACTCCCTTTAGAGTCAATAAAAGATGAATGTGCGTTTCCAGGGCACAGTTCATGCCAGGCAGGTGAAGTGAATTGTATCATAAAAGTTCTTATTTCTCTCCAGTGACTATAATGGATTCAAGTGTGACGAACTCTCATTTATACCTGTAAGATTACACAAGATGAGTCCCATATTATGTCGACACCTTTGTATGTGTGATGTCTATTTTGCATTACTTACCTAGTCAAAGCATGACTTAAAAATACAAGGCTATCTTATTTACAAAGCCCTTTACTCACAGACAGGCCTCTGATGACAAAGAGTCACTCCTCATTCATTCTCATTACCTTGCCATGTCAATTCATCAGGATGTTTGGGGGAACCAGGAAGTCAGTAGTTTCATAACCATCCAGTGCTTTACCTGGGTATTAGGACCATATCTTGAGAACACAACAGAAAAAAAAAAAAAAACAACTGTGTAGCAAGGAGTAGGAAGGAAAGACGCATTTCATGCAATTCAGTCTTCAAGTCCTCATCTCCATAACTGATGTGGTTGGAAAGGCTGACAGGGTGAGGGCCAGGAGATTTTTTAGTGTTTAGCGTAATGCTCTGCATATTACTGATGCTGTTAGCAGTAGAAAATCATCTAGCACATGGATGAGCTTCTGCTAAAGCTGGGCTTTAGGATGGGCTGGATGTAAATTTGAGATGCTTGAAAAGTTAACTTGGGAGCCCTCTGTGCAGATGACCTGTGCCACTCCTCTGCACCTGATCTGCAGCAAGACGTGATAGCAGCGGGAGGAAATGGGATGAATCAAGAGAATTGGTGTCTGTTTTCAGTCTGCCACTTCCCCTTGCAACAGTCACAGCTTGTAACACTCCTCATTCCATCAACTAGATGACCTCCAACGCTGAGCATTACCTGGATAAAACCACTAGAACTTCCTTTGTGGTCCAGCTTTCTGCTAGAGACGCTGCATCTCCAAACACCACTGTTGCCCACAAAAGCATGAGAAAATCCTTTTAGACTACGGATGCAGAATTCAATGCTAATTTTCAGCATACACACACCAAGAGCAAGTTTACCATAAAAATATACCTGTGTTCATAAAAAGCAAGTGGGGAAATTTGAAATGGGTATTTCCGGGCTTATGTCAACAAGATATTGTGAGTCATGGACTGTGGTAAGCTAAACTCAGCATTTCCTTTGTTTTGTGAGTTTCTGAGCCAACATGGTTTTTAAAACGTTTTATGTGAGCAGCATACCCCTTTCCAAGTAGGAGAGAGGAGTAGGAATACCAAGGACTGGCAAATCTACAGGTCTAACTCAAACTGGTGGAGAAAATGAGCTGCACTGACAGCCAAATTCTTCAGCGATGAACAAAGATTTTCTCTCAACGGAGGTAGACATGAACCCAGAAGCAAAATACAAAAACGTGCACGCAGCCATTTCAGTTGGCTTTTTGATGCCTTTCCCAAAATGAAGGAGGTTTCTTAGAATATGAAATTCCACAGCTAGGCCTCGCTGCCAGGACCCATCTTGAAGCAGAGGTATTTGCTGGGACAGAGGAGGTATCTAATGTGGGTTAGAGAGCTCTGGGTGGGAGCAGACTTGTGTCGAGGCAGGGTGGAACAGCAATCAACCTGCTGTCCACTGTGTGTGTCTAAACAGAGGTCGTTGGGCTCTTGAAAAGAGAAGGCATAAACAATGTCTGCTAACATGAGCAGGGAAATCAGAAAAGCAAAGCTTTTTTTTTTATAGGAGTTGCATCTAAATCACAGACTGGCT